AGAGGATATTGTCAGTGATATCAGTCAACAGCCAGATGAAGAGATACACAGGGTCAGGGTTTTGAGGGTGCCTAGTGCGGGAGCTCTGTCCCTGTGGAATTAGGGCATGCCACCCTCCCAACATGTGGATGGGTACTTCTTCACAAACCCAGAGGCTCTTTGAACTTTGTCCTTTTAAGCTTCTTTGGAGGCTTTATTGCTCAAGCTTGAGTGATTGTATCATTGACCTTTGGCGATCACTTCAACATTCAGCCCCTCTTCTCTCAGCAGAGGCTGGGACAGGGGGAGGGCATTTGCAGCTTCCACCAGGTAAGCAAAACCCAAGCAAAACTTCAGCAGGGGCTGAAGGTTCAACCCTCTAATCATAGGCCTGTTTCGCTCCTAAGGCTGTCCAGGAACCCCTAGCCATCAGTCATCTCACTGGTGTACAAAGATACATTGATCACTTAAGAGATTCCAAGGATTTCAGGAGCTTTGTGTCAGAAAACAGGGGCTGAGATCAAATATGTATCTCTCATTATTTCACCGTTCACAACCAGGTCTCTGGACTCCCTTACAGCAAAACGATATGCAACTCAAAAGGTACTGGTAGGTTATTAGTCCTCCTCAGTCATTGATAATTAGTCCAGTCCATCATCATGTTATATGAAAATGTCTCCTAGGATGAGGCCAGTCGGGTTTGCAGGCCTCCATTCCCTCTGTCAGTTCCTAAAAGCAGGACAGGTCTCAGCAAACACGGAGCTCCCCCCTCCCAGATATCTGGATAATTGAGCTAAGAGACAATGTCATCTCCTTCTCAGTATTACTGTAATATAAGATTTCCCTCATTACATAAACCATGTATTCATTCGTTTACTCTCAGCAACTCCTCCTCCTGGTTTCCATTTCTACTCAAACTTTTCTACTTTGGAAATAACTGTGACGGGTTGGCAGCAATACTAGTGTAACAAGCGTGTCCCCTCAGTGCACATCCATTCATACAGGGCAGGGTTAGACAGGTGCAGAACTAGTGGGCTATTTTTCCAATAGGCAATAAATTAGTCCATTGTGTGTTGCTATAAAGGAATATCTGAGGCTGGGTCATTTGTAAAGAAAAGAGGTGTATTTGGCTCACGGTCCTGCAGGCTGCATGAGCATGGCACCTGCATCTGCGCAGCTTCTGGTGAGGGCCTCAAGGAGCTTCCAATCATGGAAGAAGGCAAAAGGGGAGCCAGCACATCACGTGGTGAGAGAGAGCAAGAGAGAGAGGTGAGATGTCCCAGACTCCTTTAAACAACCAGCTCTCCAGTGAACTAACAGAGTGAGAACGCACTCATTACGGTGGAAAGGGCAGTGAGCCATTCGTGAGGTTCTTCCCCCATGATGCAAACACCTTCACCAGGCCCATACCAACCTCAGGGATCACGTTTCAATATGGTATTCGGAGGGGACACATATCCAAACTATATCAGGCTATGTAGCTGCATTTACTGTTAGCCCCAATTTTGCAGGACTGGGGTCCCATCAGGTCCATAAGAAAACTGACAGAACAGTCTAAACACACAGTCTGTTCCTGGCTTAGGAGTTGTCACTGCTTCCAGCATTTATAGTTGTAGCCCTGGCCCTGTGGCCAATGTACCAGGTGGTAGGTGAGGAGAAGGGGAATGTTGAGGTTACGCAGAGAAGAAATACAAAAATGACAGTCACTGACCGGGCGTGGTGGCCCACGCCTGTAATCTTAGCACTTGTGGGAGGCCAAGGCAGGTAGATCACCTGAGGTCAGAAGTTTGAGACCACCCTGACCAACTTGGTGGAACCCCATCTCCGCTAAAAATATAAAAATTAGCTGGGCGTGATGGTGGGAGGCTAAGGCAGGGGAATCACTTGAACCTGGGAGGTGGAGTTTGCAGTGAGCCAAGATCGTGCCATTGCACTCCAGCCTGGGCAACAGAGCGAGACTGTGTCTCAAAAAAAAACCACCACCACCACCACCAACAACAACAAAATTCCAGTCATTATACTAGCACCCTCCCTACCCCCTCATCCCCAGATCCACTGGAAAAATGGAGGAAAGTCTGGTGGGGACACTCCTTTAGCCCACTCGTGTGGAGTGGTGGCACACACCGGTGAAGGCGTTGAAGCCAGCCCTTCATGCCTTTATCTCCCCCCATTTTAGGCAATCAATATTTCAGTTGACTGTTCCACTTCCCTATCAAATTATTACTCTAAGGAGGATATCTCGCTGCCCATTCGCAAAACATTATGCACTGAAGGGCATGTTTCTTGGTCCAAGGAAGTGAGGCTTAGTGGTCCAAGCTAGAATAATACCTTATTTCAGTTCTTTTATATTAATAGCACTCTAGGCATTTGCAGCCTCTACCAGGTAAGCAAAAGACAATCCACAGTCAGTTTCTGTTCCCATGGAGACTCACCTGTACCCCCCAGGACCCTGCCCTCAATCTCACTTTCCAAGAATGTTCAGGGCCTCCCCATCAGGGAATCTGCCTCATAACCATAGACAGTCTGTGTCTCTCCCGCTGGCAGACAGAACAGCTCTTATTGGCGTTATGCTCTGAGAGACAGCAAGAGAAATGTGTTTCGATTCAGCCCATCTCTGCATCGCTGTGGTTCCCCCATATCCACTCATTTTATTTAATGGCCTCTCATGACCACCTCAGGGGAGTACATGGTGGTATCTCTTGCTGTTTGCAATGACTTTCCAATCCTGAGGCAGGGTCTACTGAGCAGTATGGATGTGTCCTACTTTAACGCACTCCTTAAGTCCCCCTAGAGATTACCATAGGGTCGGGGCTCATATGGACATCCCTTCAATAGGCCAGTTTTCCATTACTCTTGGAAACAATGGAGAATGTAGAGACAAATATCCGAATTTAATACACTTTATTTGGAAAGCAAGAATTGCAATGCTTGGCATACACAAAGACCAACTTGTCTTGGGTATGTCTAAAGACCAAAAGAAGTTTAGAGATTTTTTTTAAAGGAGAAGTTCTGGCCGGGCGCGGGGGCTCACGCCTGTAATCCCAGCACTTTGGGGGGCCGAGGCAGGTGGATCACGAGGTCAGGAGATCAAGACCATCCTGGCTAATACGGTGAAACCCCATCTCTACTAAAAACACAACAAAATTAGCTGGGCGCGGTGGCGGGTGCCTGTAGTCCCAGCTACTTGGGAGGCTGAGGCAGGAGAATGGCGTCAACCCAGGAGGCAGAGCTTGCAGTGAGCCGAGATCGTGCCACTGCACTCCAGCCTGGGCGACAAAGCGAGACTCCATCTCAAAAAAAAAAAAACAAAAAAAAAGAGAAATACTAAAGTATTTTTTTTCCAGAAAGTTCACTGGCGCTGTCAAATTTGAAGTGGCAGGCTCTGACTGGTGAGTGATTGTAGTAGGTCAAGCTGGTCTTAGAGCAGCAGCAGGTTGTGTCAATAGATATTAGATAGAACTGTTAATAGTTTCAGGTTACGGCTACCAGGCTTACAGAAAATTGCAGTTTGGGGGTAATACAGTGATTTTTTTTCCCCATGACCTCTTGACTCTGTTTTAGTTGACATTTAGAATGACCCAATTTGTGCGATCAACTTTCACATTCTCCTTCCCAACTCTATGACCGGGACGTTGACGACTGTCCATGAGCCAGAAAAAAATCCAAGTACAGGGGCTTTTGCCGCTGTTCAAATCTTCCATCAACACTAGGAAAACAGCATGCAATCCAACCCACCTGGCCGATTTGCCTTTGCCTTCCTCAATCAGAAGGGTGGCCTTCCAAATAGGATGTTGTCCATTCACCTAGGAACAGCAGTCTATAAACTGAGTAGCTCTTGGTCAGTCAGTAAAGAGCTGTGTATAGGGAAGTGTCCAAGTGACCCTAGAATCCAGCAGCTCCTCATCCAGTTCTAGAGTCAGTCTGAGAGGAACAGAGGCTCCCTGCTCATGAGTGTCTCCTCTTTGCCTTCCTCAGGCACCAGGATGCCATGTCAACCATTTCCATTTTGTAATAGAACTCTTCTGGGACTGCCCTCCCCTTTACAGCTTTTCCAAGATCACTGAAGACATCATGTGATCAGTTTTTCAGGTTTCAAGATTATTTTATGTCCTTCAGTCACAGGGGGAGCATCAGTTAGTGTTCCATCGCAAGCTAGTAAGAGCCTCTCAAATGGAAACTTTATAGTCTAAAGGCCCAGTTCCCGGGAGGTGCTCATAGCCTTTTGCTATTAGCCCTAGTCAGTGTCCCACATAGGGCACAGAGAATGCATCGTTACCTGCAGTCTGGTTTCTAGTCTACACTGTGTGGTCCACCCTCCAGGGCCAAGGGGCCTGAGGTGCTCTAAAGACTTTCCTGTAGGCCCTGGTGGCTCTGTGTTAATGCTGTCAGTCTTCCTGAAGTCCCTGTCCTCTCACCTCCTGCCTGGATCTGTACCCAGCACACATTCCTGACCCCACGCATTTCTCAGTGCCTGGGACCTGGCACACATTTCTGACCCTAACTCAGTGCCTGGGGCCTGGCAGGTGCCCAGGGTGCTCCATCGCTCTAATCCAAGCCTGTAGAGAGGATGACATTTCATTCCCAGGTTTCTGATGAACAGAAAAAAATCTTTGTTTCTATAGTGCTATCCTCTTCTATCCACCATGTGAGGGGTCAGGAGCCAACTGACCCCAAGGGTCTAGGAGTCGTGCCATTGACCTGACTGCCTAGGCTCACCAGCTGGCACCCTTCAATACCACACATTGGGTCTGTCCTCACAGCGGCAGTGTGCTTAACTCGATGGGGAGGTAAGTGGCCCAAGGTCAGACAGTTGGACCTGGGTAGACACTAGACTTGGGGACAGGCTTTGGAAGACACTCCCCTGGACCTCCTCTCTCCATGGGGCCTCAGTACTAGAGCCCTCAAGGTTGGTCAGGGAGTGTCTGTGCCTCGACCATGCAAAGGGTGCCAGGCTGTGGCTAGGGATGCCCCCGGGATTCCTCTGCCTCCTACCTACTCCTCAGCCTCTGTATGTGCCTATCATGGCCCCTGTGTCCTTCATTCTGCCCACTCATATGTTCACTGGGGCCCTCCTTGGTGCCAGGCACCCGCTACTGAGGGGTGCCAAGCCCCTGCCAGAGAAGCTTGGAGCTGGGTCACAGCAGCAAGGGGACTGGAGGCAGTGGCGTAAGTGTAGTAGTCAGTGAGGCCACTGTGGGAGGAGGGAGTGGGAGCCGAAGCTAAGAGTGGACTGAAGTGCTCAGGCCCGGAGGTAGTTCAAGGTTTAAGAAGAGGAGAGACAGGCTTCGCTGGGAGGGAGGAGGCTCAGGAGGGGCCTCCAGTACCTCCTCTGAACCTCACTACCCAGACTACAGCAGGGCAGTGGGCAGCACCTCTGTTCCTTCCCCTTTTGCTGGCCACAGCCTGGACAGGACCCAGAATCAAACCACAGGCCCAGGGTCACCTCCACCAGAAAGAACTAGATCCTGTCCGTCCACGCACCCACCCCCACAACCCGGGCCTTCCTGGAGGTGCTAGGGGAGGCCATGGCCCTTTTCTGAGTGCTTGGAAGTGACTCCTGGAAGTGACAAGTGACCACGCCTTTTTCCCCGCAGGTATAAAAGCAGATACGCACTCCGATTCTGGCAGTGCAGCGGTGGGAACCTCTCCAGGCGCACGAACCCTGCCCACGATTTCGGATCGATTTTTGGGCGTTTGACCAGAGGTGCAGGGGATGAGGAGCGCTTCCTACCGCTAGGGGACTTTGGGGTCAGAGCGCCCCGGCCGCCTGATGGCCGGGGCAAGGTGCGACCCAGGACCCAGGACGGCGTCGGTAACCAGACCGTGGCCCGGATCCCCAAGACCCTAAAGTTCGTCGTCGTCATCGTCGCGGTCCTGCCGCCGGTGAGTCCCCGCCGCGGTCCCTGGCAGGAGAAGAGCGGACCTGGCGAGGGGTATGGGAGACAGGGGAACACGATGGGGCAGGGAGACAGGGGAACACGGAGCGGGTGCCTGGCTCTGGTCACCTGCGGCCGGGCATGTCTGGGCAGGACGAACCCGTCTTCGGAGTCAGGGGAAGAACTGGGTCCCCGGGCCGGGCAGGAGGGAGCAGAGAGCGCGCTCTCCCTGGCTGTCCGGTGCCCGCGAATGGAGGGAAGTTGCAGAATCGAGAGAGGGAGGGAGTCAAGGTGGAAACTATGGAGTGAACCTCCGGAAGACACAGAGCGGTTGCCTCTCTCATTAATTAATTAGTTAGTTAATAGAATTAACCCCATGTTTACATTCTTAAACGTGTTCCTTGGAGACGGGTTTAACCAACAGCCAGTGAAAAAACTTTCCAACGCTGTCTTTTACAATTTTCATTTCCTCTGCCCTGAAAGTGGAAGGAAGCAGTTAACGAACGTGCTTGCAGTTAGTATCTTGCACTGTCACCCGTGTGTCCCCTCTGCATTCCACAGGCAGGACCGGGTGCTCGCGCTTTCCTTCAGCGGTCCTGCCACTGGTGAGTCCTCGGGGCGGTGTAAAGTTCTCATTGTGAGTTGACTTTGTAAACTGAGATTGGTAGTAGTGTGAGTGCAAGGACATATTAGGTATAAAATGTGCAGACTTCTAGGTCTCTTTCAGATTGATTGCGGTTTTTGCTAACAGCCCTTTTTAGGATTCCTTATATTATTTAAAAAAAAAAAAATGCCAAAGCAAGATTACAGGAACTATGAGAGTTTGCATGTTGTCTTTCTACAAATTAATGCTAAATTTAGAAAAGCAGTAATATTTTGACCTCTCAAAAATTACACAACTGACTTTTAAAATAGTTTACAGTGGATGAACTTACCTGAGACAAGTAGAAGAATGGCTGTGTCAGGACAGTGGCCCTGAAGAGAGAATGTGTGGATGACCAGTGTAGACAAGGCCAGCAACGTGAATTTCACAGTTTTGGGAATGTGAACTCTATATGTCCCAAAGGAGGCTTTGATCCCTCAGTCTTGCCTTAATTAAATGCATTTCAATGCACAATTGCTTCTTAAAATTTTGGAGCTAACACAAATCACATTAAATGTTTTATGGCAGTACATTCAGATTGATCTTCTTTTAAACAAGGGTATTATATTTTACTGCATGGGTGAGCCACATTTTAATTCACTGTTGCTGCCTAGGGGCAGCTGGTTAGATCCCATCCTGACTTTGCCTTTGCTAATTCCAACAGCGTTGTACTAAATACCCTTGTATGTATCGTGTGTCCACGTATCTATGCGAACCAGCTTATTGGGCAACTCCTTACAAGTTGAATTCTACTTCTCTACTTCTCCTTCTGTGGGATAAATGACTTCAGAAGTTTCTTTAAATGTTCACAAATTTTCCTCCAAAAAATCCATTGAACCCAGCTTACTCACACGTAGTCCACAGATGTGCCTGTGCCCCTACACCCTTGCCACACTTAGCTTTCATTCGTTACTAGTCTAAGATGTAAAACATGACACATCACATTGCTATGTATTTTTGTTTCTTCATGGTATTAGGAATTGTCAAGGATACAGGAGTTTTTGGTACTGGGAGTAGATGACCAGGGGATCCAGATGAGACAGTAGGGGAGGGCGGCAGGGAGGACTGAATTCACAGCTGTGCACCTGGAAAACCGTGGTCAGCTGGGGCCAGTCCCTGCCACCCACCATACCTGTGAATGGAGGTAAGGTCTCCGTCCTCAGGCTGTCAGGGTGACTTCAGATGAGCCTGGAGCTGAGCTCAGTTCCTGACACCAGGTCCTGACTCTGTCAGTGCTGGGCTGGTCCAGTCACCTGGCGTGCCAGGTCCTTCCACGCCATTCCTCTCTCTATCAAAGTAGGAATTGAGAAGTTCTGACGGCTCAGAATTCCGGACTCTCAGGATGTGAAGGACTCCTGAGATTGAAGGCTGTGAATGGCTGGGCCCTGCCTTGCTCCCCCTCTGGCTCTGTGTCTCTGGTGTGGCCCCAGCTCCTGCCTGTAAAGTGAAGAGGAGATAAAAATCTTCAGCAACCCTGTGTAAACCTCAGAGGGCTGTGTTAGCAGGTGTGGGAGGACAGATCACATCCTCAGGGCTGGTGTCAGTTACTCTGGACTGGATCCCCGAGGCACCTGTCCTCCACCCAGCAGAGGGTGCACCTGCTCCTACTTGCACCTCGGTACTGGCTCCCTGAGCTTGTGGCAGAAGCTTCTAAAGACTAGGGTGGAGCGCCATGGGGAGGGGCCATGGAAGAACAGAGGAGCCAGACCTCAAGTGAGGACAGCGATGACACTGCAGAGCCACAGCCTGGTTTAACTGTTATGCTTGTAGTTGTCCTTCTGGTAGGCACATGGCCTGGGTTGCAGTTTGAAGAGTGAGCAGGAAATGTCTCTATCCAGGTGGCTGCAGATGGCTACTCGCCCAGCCCCTACTGAGAGGCCACAGTCCCAGTTCTGGTCCCCTGTCCTGTATCCAGGAGTGGCAGGGCAGTGAGGCTCTAGCTTCTAGGTCAGGGATGGGGACAGTGGGGACAGTGCCATGCCCCACGCCTGTGCTGTTGGGCAGCTAGTGTCCTGCTCCCAGCCAGTGACTGCACATCTTAGTCTAGTGGATTTTCCTAACAACCCGGGGAGATGAGGGTAGGTTGTTTTCCCTGTTTCACAAGTGGCAAAATGAGATTCAGGGCTAGAGTTCTCTGAGCAGCTGCTTCTCTGATCTCTGTCCTGCCCTTGGCCTCTGGGAGCTCCTATGGGCCTTCAGCAGAGTCCGCAGGGCTCTTGGAGCCTGTCCTTCGGCCATGAGCTGAGGCCATCACTGTGCTCACCTCATAGGCTTGGGGGGAAAGTGATTCATCCAGGAAGTAGACAGTGAGCTCTTTACTCTGGGAATACCAGTGCCTGGAGTCTGCTGAAGACAGGGAGGACAAACGAACCCCATGTGAATCCTGCTCCCTGGAGCCCACAGTGTGGTGGGAGAGGTGACACCAGGGATTATATAACTAATAGGAGGTAGCATGAGGGAGGCCTGAGATCTCACCACCCTTTGCTCCCCCTCCTCCAGAGAGGCCGTGCTGGAGGGAGATCATGTCCTTGCAAGGCCATAGAATGTGGTATTGTTGGCCTGGAAGATGTGGTTTGATTATAGTCACCATTGAGGGTCATGGAGGGAAGCTAAGCTCTCCTTTAGACTTTGTTTTTTTCTGGCTGGGCCAGAGAATTAAATTGACATAAGACAGGTCCACTGGAGACAAGCATACACATTTATTTAATGCAAGTTTTACCTGGCATGGAAGAACCAGTGAGAGTCAGTTACTTATTTACTGAATTAAACCAAGTAACTCGTGAAGAAGCAAGTAATTATGTGGGGAGCTAAAAAGATGATAGTGGATCCATTCTAACATGGTGTGCGCAGTACCCTCTTGGCCTCGACTTTTCATCCTTCAAAATAAGGAGATCGTCAGCTGGGCGCGGTGGCTCATGCCTGTAATCCCAGCACTTTGGGAGTCCAAGGCAGGCAGATCATGAGGTCAGGAGATCAAGACCATCCTGGCTAACACGGTGAAACCCCGTCTCGACTGAAAATACAAAAAAAATTAGCAGAGCGTGGTGGTGGGCGCCTACAGTCCCAGTTACTGGGGAGGCTGAGGCAGGAGAATGGCAATAACCCAGGAGGCGAAGTTTGCAGTGAGCTGAGATCGCGCCACTCCACTCCAGCCTGGGAGACAGAGCGAGACTCCGTCTCAAAAAAAAAAAAGGAGATCGTCCTATGTTTTCCAGGGGACTTTCATCCCCTGCTTTTAGGAAACACAAAAGAGGTCAAAGGATCTTCTTGCACCTGCTGTTTTTCAATAGCCTTTAATTCATAATAGTCAATGGACCAGGGTGGTGGGCAGGTGCGATGGCTCACACCTGTAGTCCTCCCAAGACAGGCAGATCACCTGAGCCCAGGAGTTCAAGACCAGCCAGGGCAACATAACAAAACCCTGTCTCTACAAACAAAACAAAACAAAACAAAAACAAAAACAAAAAACAGAAAAACACAGAAAATTATGTCATGTGAAAGAATCTACACAGAATGCTTACCATCTGATTCCATTTCTTATTAAAATTCAATCTATTCTGACAAAAAACAGAAGAATTATTGCTGGAGACATAGGAGCAAAGCAGAAGAGAGGATTACACTGAAGAATGAAGAAATTCTGGGGTGTGGTGGACATGACATTTTCTTATCGTGGTGATAGTTTCTCAGTGTATACATGTGTCAATCTACCAAACTACATGCTTTAAAAATGTACACTTTGTGGCCGGGCTCGGTGGCTCACGCCTGTAATCCCAGCACTTTGGGAGGCCGAGGCGGGTGGATCACGAGGTCAGGAGATCGAGACCATCCTGGCTAACAGTCTCTACTAAAAATTGGTGAAACCCCATCTCTACTAAAAAATACAAAAAAATTAGCCGGGCATGGTGGCAGGCGCCTGTAGTCCCGGCTACTCGGGAGGCTGAGGCAGGAGAATGGCGTGAACACAGGAGACGGAGCTTGCAGTACGCCGAGATCCGGCCACTGCACTCCAGCCTGGGCCACAGAGCGAGGCTCTGTCTCAAAAAAAAAAAAAAAAAAAAATGTACACTTTGTTTCATATCCATTATACCTCAATAAATCTATTTTTAAAAACCTTCAACAGAATATAAACACTTGAGTATATACTGTATTCCCTATAGTACTCCATAGATCATGGAACTATGTTGCATAAAAAGTCAGTATCCAATTAAAATGGAATTCTAAAAAGTAATTAACATTAAAATGTGCAAGGGAAAAGAGGAGCAAAAAAATTAGACTAGACAATCGTAGCTTAAATGGTAAACTTATAGGTCTGTTTCAACTATATCAATTATTGCAGTACCTGTAAAGCCACTGAGCGCTACAGTGCAATGGTAGAAATGGTTGGAAGGGCAGAAAAAGCAAGACTCAACTATATCTTGTCTATATGAGATGGGCCTTAAAAGGAAGACACAGATGCTGTCTGTTGAAAGTAAGTAGATAGAAAAAGATACACCATACAGAGTGTAAGGCCAAGTAAACTGCTGTGGCTATCTCAGTATCAGATGAAGCTGATTTTGTTAGCTGTGGACGAGATCCGAGTTACCCTACGTCGAAGGCGGCGAATCCGTAGGGGTCCACAGCACCTTCAGCTCTTCGCCTCCTGAGAAGAAAGAATTAGACTGAGGGGCGTGAGGCAGAAGGAGAGATGGAGGCAAGTTTCAGAGCAGGAGTGAAAGTTCATTAAAAAGCTTTAGAACAGGAAGGAAAGGAAGGAAGGGAAAGAAAAGAAGGGAAGTACTTGGAAGATGGCCGAGCAGATGACTTGAGAAACAGTGCATAGCCGGCCCGCCTGAGTCGGGGTTTTATAGGTTGGCATACTTCTGGGATTTTGCCTTCTCCCCACTCCTGAAATCTCATTGGGAAGCTGCTGATCAGTTTCAGGTGTTTTCTATGTGTTAGGAGACTGCCTTTTACTGGCATCGGCTGTAACCAGTTATTACTTTAGAGACACAGTTATCAACCACCTGATGGTCACCTAACACTGCTGGTGTCAGAAGCGGGGAGCCCTCTCCTGCCCTGCTAATACCTGTCTAGCTACCTACTGTAACAATTTTAGGACACAGAATATTATGGGAGATCAAAAGGGACCTTTGTAGTTAAAAAGGTTAACTCTTCAAGGAGTGTAATAATAATAACAAATTTGTATATGCCTAGTAATACAGCTGCAAAACACATGACGCAAAAATAGAATTAAAAAGAGATTAAATCAGCTGTTTCTTTCCACTTGGTAGCACGATCAGATGAAAACGCCAGTAAAGTGGCAAGCGACCTGCACACTATGAACCACCTTGATTTAACTGACATTTAAAGAGCAGGATGGAACATCCACTGAACACTCATTCCTTTCTATGATCATGATAATTTCACCAAGATAGACCGGGTTCTGGGCGGTAAAACACATGATATGATCTCTAAACTTAATGTAACTAAACTGGAAATCAGTAACAATATTCATAGAGAATTCTAAAATTTTGAAATTGAACAACACACTTCTACAAAATCTGTGGTTCAGAGAAGAAATCAAAAGGGAAGGTAAGATATTTATTTCAGAGTAAATAATAATGACAATATAACACATCAAAACTGGTAGGAAATGGCTAACAGTGCTCGGGGTGAAATATACAGCTTTCAATGTTTCTATTAAAAAATTGGGGGCTGGGGAAGTGAGTTACAGAGGAAGGGCATGCAGTTCCTTTGTGGAGTGATAAAAATATTCTAAAATTGATTATAGTGATGATTGCATAGCTATGAGTATATTAAAGACTATTGAAATGTAGACTTTAAATGGGTGAATTATATGAATCATCATGATTATTAACTATGGGAATTGTGTCTCACTAAAGCTGTCAAAAAAAAAAGAAAAAACATGAAAATTATGGCCTGAAGAGCTACGTTAATCAATCATAAAATATAAGTGTCAATTTAAACCAAACAAAGTAACAGGAAGGAACATAAATCAAGGAAATAGAATACAAACCACAAAAAGAATTGACCAAATGAACTGTGTGTGGTGGCTTACGCCTGTAATCCCAGTACTTTGGGAGGCCCAGGCAGGCAGATCACTTGAGCTCAGGAGTTAGACCACTCTGGGCAACAAGGCGAAACCCCAGCTCTACAAAATATGCAAAAATTAGATGGGCATTGTGGCACACGCCTGTCTGTGGGGACTGAGGTGGCAGGACCACTGGAGCCCGGGAGGCAGAGGAGGCAAAGGTTGAAGTGAACCGAGATTACACCACTGCACTCCAACATGGAGGTCAGAGGGAGACCCTGTCTCCAAATAAATAAATAAATAAATAAATAAAAAGACAAAATGAAAAGTTGGTCTTCTGAAAGGATTTTAAAAAACACTCATAAACCCCTCATTAGATGAGAGGGAGTAAGAGTGTGAGAGCAGAGAAAGGAGATGCAGACATTGCCTGAACCTAGAGGGACTCCAGCCTGGGAGGGAAGGATTTGGGAAACATGGGTTAGCTTCACTGTCACCAACTACGGGACAGGCTTTGATGTGGAAGAAGGCTACGTTTTGTCTTGTTTAGATGGAGTCGGTTGAATTGAGCCCAACATAAACAGCTTTCATTGTAATCATTTTGGTTTTGCTTAAATTAATTTCTTACTTTTAAACACTCACAACTTAAAGCAAAGTTACAAGAACTGTACAATAAAAACATTTGAAAAAATAGCTGTTGATGTGATGAAAGCTGTTATTGAATTCTTTAGTGTGTATTTTCTACAAACAAGGAAATTAACATCAACACGTTACCACTATCTAATACCCAGACTCTATTCCGATTTCTCCAGTTGTCTTCCAGTTGTCATTTATAACATAGAGATCACGGCCAGAATCCCTGAATTGCTGTTTCATCTCTTTTTGTCACTCTTTGATATTTAGTGGGAACAGCTTGTCAAGGTCCTTTGTAAAGCAGTAATTAATTATTTCATGTTTGATGCTATATCCTGACTTTCTGTAAGGTTATATATATTATAACCCTCATTTGTAAAACTGAGTATGTTTATGTGTGTGTCTGTGTGTATTTGTGTGTGTGTGAAGGAGAGAGACAGAATTCACCTATTGGTCAATTAAACACTTGGTGAAACTAAATATATTAAATGCTATTTCTGCATGAAGGGCTCATATGTGTTTTTAAAAAATTCTTATAAAATCTTTTCTTTCCAACCACAGTGGTGTGTGCCTGTTATCCACATTTCTTGGGAGACTGAGGCAGGAGGATCACTTCAGGCCAGGAGTTCGAGCCTATAGTAAGATATGATCACACCTGTGAATAGCCACTGCATTCCAGCCTGGGCAACATAGCAAGACTCTGTATCAAAAAAACAAAAATAACTCTTCTTGCTCACGTTTTCTGGGATAAATGTATTTTATGTTTTAATATGAGAAAAGGATACAGAGGTGTTTTCCTTTGTCTTTTCATTTTGGTTTTGGTTTTGGTTTGGTTTTTTTTTTTTTTTTTGAGACGGAGTCTTGCTCTGTCACCAGGCTGGAGTGCAGTGGTGTGATCTCGGCTCACTGCAACCTCTGCCTCTCAGGGTCAAGCTATTCTTCTGCCTCAGCCTCCCGAGTACCTGGGATTACAGGTGTGCTTCCCGGTGTCCAGCTAATTTTTGTATTTTTAGTAGAGACAAGGTTTCACCATGTTGGCCAGGATGGTCTCAATCTCTTGACCTCATGATCTACCCGCCTCGGCCTCCCAAGTTGCTGGGATTACAGGCGTGAGCTATCGCACCTGCCCATATATATATTTTTATTTTATAGAAAATAGCTGGCCCTAACAGGCCAAGGGATAAACATGGATATGAAAGAATGAAAGTTTGGAGCTGGAAAAAATGTCCAAGCGCGGATGGATTTTGTCACTTGGGGTGAAGGGAATGTGAGATGGAGCCTGGGAGGGGTGAGGTCTGGAAGCCTCTCACACCCATCTCTCCTTTGTCCCCACAGGTCCTAGCTTACTCTGCCACCACTGCCCGGCAGGAGGAAGTTTCCCAGCAGACAGTGGCCCCACAGCAACAGTGGCACAGCTTCCAAGAGGAGAAGTGTCCAGCAGGTGCACTCTTATTTTTAAAAATCAGTTTATTTTTAATTGACAGATAAACATTGTATATATTTATGATGTACATCATGAGGTTTTGAAATATGCATGCGTTGCGGAATGGCTAAATGAAGCTAATTCACATACTTATCATGTATTCGTGGTAAGAACACTTAAAAATCTGCTCAGCAATTTTCAGCTGTATGGATACAGAGCCCTGGCATAAGCCCTCTTTGCCCTTTTTATGTGGGGGTTCTGTAGCCTTCCTTATCTATGGGTTCTGCATGCATGGTTGCAACAAACCACATATCAAAAATATGCGGAAAAAATAAAAATGATAATATGTCAATAAAAGTAGATAAAAGCAATGCAATATAGCACTTATTTACATATCATGTCTATTGCATTAGGTGGTACAAGTATTCTAGAGAAGATTGAAAGCATATATACCTGGGTTTTATGCAATACTATCCCAATTTATATCAGGGACTTGCGTATGTGCCAAGTTTGTTCCATGGAATATATTCCCTGTGGATAGAAGGAAGGACTGTACAACACATTGTTTTAATAACTGTAGTCACTGTGTTCTACAATACATCTCTTTTTTTTCTTTTT